TTTCATTCAATATTCCATTTACATGACAGTCAGAATTTTGAGGAAAAGATGTTTGAATTATAAGCATGAAACCAATTGTTATTGCATATATGATGAGTGTGCACCATTATTTTGGCTTAAACTTCACCATTTTGAAAAACACCCCTGCTGTACTTGCATTCTGCCTCAAAATTGTTTTGCATAGCAGCCATTATGTCAAACTTTGCATTATTTAAAGTTTGCTTGCTTTCTTGGTTTGAGCACACTTATTATCATGTTTATGAGGTGTGTGGATGTTTTGTTTAAGTTGTTTATACCTGTTGTGGTTTTTCATGTTCAATGTGTACCATTTGCATCAAGATGCCATCACTATGTCACTTTCTGATTTGGAAGCATTGAGTCTGCATTTTTAGCCTAGAAACATCCTTTAGCATATATGTGGTGTGTGTGTGTGTCATTGTCGTGGCATGAATCTTATTGTTTTGAAAAATACCTTGTTGCATCATCAAGTATGGTTTCAAGACAGTTTTTTGCATTTTTGACCATCAACATACCAATTTCTGTCCTGTTTGAAATAAGCATGAACCTCAAGCATGATCTCATTCATTTTCATGATTATGATGTGTGTGTATTGTTTGTTTGAGTTGTTTCCATCTGGTTTGGTTGTTCACTTTCAAAATGCCTCATTTTGCATATTATTGCCATGATCATACCAATCTTTGTTTCAAGCCAGAAGTTGTTTAATTTTGAATCCAAAATCATCCATTTACATGTTTATGATATGTATGTATGAATTACATGATCTGTTTTCACATGATTTGATCCTTCACTTTCAAAATGCATCATTATCATAAAAAATGCCATCTATGTACCAGTTCTGTTTTTGAAAAGTGATGTGCTTAAATTTTGGCATGAAATCATCATAATTGTGATATGTATGCATCATTGGATTAGTACGAAAGTCACTCATTGAGAATCATCCAACTTGCATCATCATTCCTTGTACCAAAACTGTTTTACAATGCAGCCAATATGACAAGCTTTGTTTTGAGTAAGATGTGTGTGTTTTTGAGTTTGAATTCATCTACCATTATGACTTTAATTTTATGAGCTTTAATTATATGAGTTGATCTCATTTGTTTCATGCTGTCATTTCCAAATTGCACATCAAAACCTCCATTTTTGCAACTGCCATACCAGTTTTGTTTCTAATGGGTTATGCCCAAGCTTGAGTTGTGAAAACATTTTTTGATTGGTTTATGACTTGTGTATGATGTATGTGTGGTCTGAAAATGCACCAAACTTGCTTGAATCTTATTCTTGCATTTCAAATGTCACCTTTTTCCATGAAGAGGTCTTTTCCATTTCCATTTGATTTGCAGTTGGTCTACATGACTAGAATCATTTGCATACATGTTTGTGACTTGTTTGAGGTGTTGATTTGTTGTGAATATGCTTAAATATGTTTTGACAACTCTTCTTGCATTCCACAAATTACCAAACTGCAGCTTGACCACTTGTTTTGCCACATCCTATGTTGAAACCAGCTTTGTGCTTAAACTCATTTGTTAACATATTTGAGAGGTGTGTGCATAACTTGTATGATGTAAATATGACTAGAAACTGATTTGAACTCCTTCATGCATCATCAAATACCAAAGTGCAGCTTGAACATCTTTTTTCACCACAGCCTGTTTTGAACCTATCCATCTGCCTAGAATCATTGGTTGATGTATTTATAGTTTGTGTGTGGTATCTGTTTGATTTGAATGTGCTCTGAATGTGCCATGAGTTCCATTTTGCATTTCAAAACACCAAGTTACAAGTGCTATCGTGTTTTTAATTAGGAATATTATTTCACAATTTCAACACCACCATTGCATTCCTTGTTAAAAATCACACAAGTTGGACTAAAATTTTGTTAAAATCCATTGAGTTTTGGCTGAGATATGAATCAAAACGCATCCATGATTTTACTTGTTCTTGGTCCTTTGAATGTTGCCCAGAAATCCATAAAGATATACCATATATATTAATAGGATGGAATTTATACTTGGATGTATAGCCACCCCAGTGGTAGAAACCTTGCCATAAAACACGCCTTCGATCCACAGTGGAGATCAACCCTTTTGCTATTTTTCCTTTTTTCCTTGTTTTTAATATTTTCTTCCTTTTCTCTCCCTCTTTTTATCACATGTGTGCTAAGTGGCTCAGTGGTTGTTTGTTGAAGTTGTGAATCTGAGGGGCGTGGGTTCAATTCCCTCATTTACCCCTTTCTTTTATTTAATTGTTTTAATTTGTTCATAATTCTCATCAATTTTCATAATTTCATAACTTGTTCATTTTTAAACATTTTTCACCCATTCTTTTTGCATATTGTTCATATTAATGTCTAATTTTATTTAATGAATTAAAATTTCAAATTATTTGTAATTTCATTGCCTCTAACCACTTGGAAGTTGTGCACGTTTTGAAATCATTATCCCATGTCTTATTGACTTTCTTTCTCACCATGCCTGATTAGCTTGTGGACTTGCTTATTTCTATTTTCCTTTATGTTAGTCAACATGATAGGATTATTTTCTTTGGTTGTTACCATGAGTTATTTTGTTGCCTCTGAGAAATTATTTAAGCTTGACCTGTTGTCACATTTCTTGCTTGATTATATGTTTTGATCGTCATCAATGCATATTTTGTGGCTATATTTAACATGTTTGCTTTATATGGTTGTCATTATGCTTTTATCTTCATCGTGTTATTACTTTGTTAAGTAGTTTTCTTTTCCCCAAGTGATGGAACTTGTTAGTTCTCGTCCAAGTTGCCTCCCCTCTCTCCTTCCAAAGGAAAAGTCTCTCCATCGACCCTTGTCTCATGGAAAGCTCATTATCCCTCATTGACTTTGTTAAGTCATCTTTAACCTTAGTTTAGAAGCCATTAGACTTTGCTTTAAGTCTAAGAAACTCACCTTTACTAGGAGTGTTCTTCAACTAGAACCCTAGGATTGAGTTTGTCAACTTTATGTAAGAATCATTGTCATGAATTCTTACTTCCCCCTTTTGAGTGGTCAACTTAGACTAGGGAGTTTTGTTAAACTTCACACAAACATTGTGATGTTTGTTCCCCCTTGAACCTTGGTCATAATCAAGTGTTCTTCATCCCTCGTGAGGCGAACTACGATTGCTCTGATTCTATCCTAGTTAGGATACCTAGGAAAAAGATGCGATGTCTTTGCGAGCAAACTTAGAAACCATCTTTAGGTCTTTACCTATACATTTTTACCTAATCCCAAACCATAGCAAATACCTAACAAACCTAACAAGCAAACAAACAAAAGGTTCTTGTAGAGTACTACAAATGCTTAGGGTGCTAACACCTTCCCTAGGTATAACCAACCCCCGATTTCCGAATCTCTTAGCGTTGTTGTTACATCGCGAAAAGGGTTTTTCTTTCTTTAGACCTTTCCTTTGGATAAATTAAAGTTCGGTTGTAAAAAAATTAAAGATTCAAGTTAATTCAATAGCTTGATATCCGATTTTCACCGCAACACAACCATAAACACATCGAAAGACATACTTGGAAAATCATGAAAAGCTATACTCCCCATACCTTAGCCGATTCAAAGTTTTCACGATTATCTCTGAGAATCTTCTGCCTCCAACCTTCTCCTCAGAGCTCTGGCCACAATATTTTTCACGATTAACAAATGAATTCTAATTCCCTTCAGAACTCTATTTTGTCAAACCTAGTCTTGGGTCTCACAATTTGGGTTTTTCCCTCATTACCCTTACTAACTCCTTCAAATGCCCAAATTGCCCTTATTTCACTTATATTCATTTTAATTAATAATAATACTAATAAATTAATATTATATACTATTAATCAAATAAATAACCCAAAAATGCACACTTTTTCAATAATTCACAAAACCACCAAAAAATGAATATTCTTAAATAAATTAATTAATTAAAATATTTCAATTAAATTTGGGGTGTTACACCCGTCGGAACTTTACCAGCATTTAATATATGAATGTTGCAATATTAAATGACAAAGCAACGATACAAAAAAAAATTAATACATTAATGTGTTCCATTTGCGACGTGGAAGGCACGTGAGAATGCTGGAAAAGTCAAATTCATCATTAATGTATCTCAACCGTAAAAGTAAAAGCTGACCAACTTTAATATTTTCAAACGTTCCCATGTGAGTAGTTTGTGACTTGTTTTCCACGTCGCAAATATAAAGACATTTTTGAATTTTTTATTCCCATGTGGTTACCACGCCATAACTAAATCTTTGAAAAATTCAAATTTCTCTCCTAAAAAACAACACTCATCGTTACAAATTTTAAGTTTGAAAGGAATATTAATTAAATATTGTAGTGACGTGGTTTATACGTCGCAACCTCTATTTTTTCTCACTGTTTACCACGTCACTAAATCACTAGCCAAAATGCAAATTTTCTTGTAGTGAGAAGGCATAAAAGAAATTTCGCTTGGTGCCTAAGAAATTTCTCTAAAATGTAACAACACACTCAATGCATTCGGTGAATACCTGCCTGTTCCGATATTGGCACACACGCTGCATTCATAACAGTCTAGGTACTTTAGCTTGTCCAAATATTAATATTTCACTCACAATTTTAGAATTACACAGCTGTGTCAAAATACAAAGTATACATAGCAAATAATTCTACAAACAAATTTAAACTTTATACATACATACAAACACTTCAAATGAAAAATAAAACTCACTATTAGTCCACCATCCTTTATTCTTCAATAACAACATGCAAGTAGTAGTTTCATTTGCACAGCAAGCAACTAAGTTGACAAAGCTTGTTAATATGCAATCCTTCCTTCTGAACAAGCCACTGTAGATAAATTCCAGATGCTCGCTGCCAAAAGTATTTTGCCAAATTAAACTACTAGGTGTATATTGAAAATAAGAATGCAAAACGTCCAAAAAAAAGGCAACTGAGTACTCACTGTGCTGTGTGCTGTGCGTGGTAGAAATATATTCTACTGAATATGAGTTTGGACGACTTGACAATTGGGTGGGATGTTAAACGTCTCAGGACTGATTTCCCTTGGCATGTTTGTTAACTTCAACTCAAGCAGAGTGCTGATATGCTCTAGTCCATCAGGAAGCATTTTCAGATGGGGACATGATCTGATTTCTACCTGTCTGAGACAAGGGAGTGCTTCTGGCTCTATCTTCCATTCCTCTAACTGCTCCAACTTCCAAAGTTTTAATACATAAAGCTGAGGAAAGCTATGAGATTCGCAAACCATAGTTGTTCCCGTGTATGACTCTGCGAGTAAACACAGTGTCCGAAGATTTGGAAAATCTTTCAAAAGTATCATGGGATCATCTTGTAGTTTTGAATGTGATAGGGTAAGTTCAATGAGGCTCAGTGGAAATTGGGACAGAATAGATGAACTGTTCAAACTTCCCAGCAAATACATGTTGGTGAGATATGCATTATTTTCGAAGGACTTCAAGTGTAATGTCCAAGGTCGACCTTTTTCATCTCTAGATTTCAGTCTCAGTGACTGAAGGTATTCTAATTTTGTAATCCAGTCAGATACTGTCTCAAGTTGAGCTATCATAGGCTCTTGGTTTAGTGACATTGATTGGCATGCTAATCCCAACTTTGTGATATTGACCAATTTGTCCAAGCCACCCTTGACTGGAGTCTCCTCGTCCACAAACAGTCCCCACAATGTTTGGAGGTCAGATAGAAAATTACTTTTTGGTTGAGGTGGAAACCTGGTGCGGTAAGTCTCACTCAAGAAGAGGTGTCTGAGTTCCATCTTCCAGATTGAGGTAGGTAGAGTATGTATGTAAGTATGTTTGAGATCAAGTGTTTGAAGCTTCAACAACTTGCTTATAGATGATGGAAGTGACTCTAAGTAGGTCCATCTCAACCCAAGATACCTTAGCCGGGTAAGTCTTGATATGCATTTGGGCAAGTTGGGCTTGTAAACGCGTTCAAGATCAAGCACCAGAAGGAGTAAGAAGTTATCACTTGAAATACATCCCTTGAGAAAGTTACCTACTTGTTGTCCAGGTTTACTCCCCTCCTGAGTATCAAAGGAATGAAAAGAGAGAACGTCCTTGTAATAGGTTTGAAAGGAAGTTGAATCAGTACTGTCACCATGAATGTGATCGTTCCAGATATCATCTTTATCAAGATGATCTACAACTCGACGAATAATAGACTTTTTTGGGTCTGCATTTGAATCCATGGCAGCTCCGTGGCCTTGTAGAAATCTAGACTCGTTAGCCTTTGACAACAGTTGCTGCAAAGTACTAGGGAGACGACATGTTTTCACCTTCCCGTTGTGCTTTCTCTTGGCAACTTGGACCATGTTCCGATCTATCAACTCTGTCAAGTACCTTTCTGCAACTAGCTCCGGGGGCACTTCGTTATCTTCTACTTGATGAACCAGACTCTCGGCAACCCACAAAACAACCAACCTTCTGACAGGGATCTCAAATTCAGCGGGGAATAGCACAAAGTAAAATAGACATCTTCTCAGATATGAAGGTAAGTTTGTATTAATTGTATCTGACATTTCAGACCAACTTTGCATTTGATCTTCATTGAGCTGCTGGCCCCCCAACACGCTCGACCACTCCTCATGTGTAATGTCTTTATGAGAAAGCAAATCACTCATTTTCAATATTTGTAATGGCAACCCCCCACATTTCATCACAATATTTTTTCCAATCTTGATAAGTCCTGTTTCTGACTTGGGGGGAATGTCCACCTTCAAATGTCTTGTGAACAACAGCCAACTAGTTTCATCATCTAATAACTGTAATGGGTGAAGAATGATTCTACCTGCTGCATGTTGGGCTACATTTGCATTGCGAGTGGTAAAAAGAACTCTGCTTCCCGTTGACATATCGGGTATGGCCCTGTTCAAGGCATCCAAGTAAACTTTGGATGTTTTTTCTATGCCATCAACAACTATGAAGTACTTCGTACAGGCCAAGGTTCCGAGTAAATAATTAGTGGACAAGTTTTCTTCTTCTACAGTAATTTGCTTGGCGGCTGCCTTGCCAATTTCAGCAACAAATTGGTTTGTCGTACAATTTGACGGCAGTGACACCCATATGTGATGCTGAAAATGAGTTACAACAGTGTTGTCTTCAAATATCAACTTGGCTAGTGTTGTCTTACCAGTGCCTCCGATTCCAACAATCCAAGTAATGCAGCGACGTTTCTCGTCTGACAATAACTCTGCCATCAGAACTTGTGTGTCATCATCAAATCCAACCACACTGGAATTCTTGACAACAAGAGATGGTTGCATTCTTGCACGTAATATTTGAACCTTGGATACGACTCGGCTTTGAATATGCACTAAACCATATGCTTTTCTTCTCCTAGAAGTATCTTCAATTTTGTTTATGATACCATCTAGCTTCTTACTAACAACATGTCGGGTCCAGTACTTAAAAATGTAGTTAAGAATTGGCATATGCTTCAATTTGGCATAATATTTGTTAATGACAGACTGCGCTTCATGGGAAATAACTCTTAGTTGCTCCACCCAGATTCTGGATCTTCCATCTAGTTCTCCCATTGCATTTGCATCCAGAAGCAACGCGTCCATCAAATCCTTTTCCCCTCGGATTAATTGGACCTTCTTTTTGAACCCCGTGACAGGCTGATATGAGGAGGAAGAGGCAGCTGCTGCTGGCGTAGCATCCGAACTTTCATCATGTTCAGCAATGATTTCATTCTCAATATCTCTTTCTTGAATGCTTCTATTTGGGACTAATAAAGGGAGAATCTCTTGGCGTGTTCTTTGAATATTTCCAATGCAATAAATGACCTTCCTATCTGATATATCAAGAATCTCTTTCAACAAACAGTTAATGTCCTTGGAAAACTTAATTCTGCTCAAACAACCACCCTTACCTTTTTGATATGCATCAATAAGAGATTGACCATATTGAGACAGCACTCTCAGTTGATCCACCCACACTGTCTGCCTTTTATTTAGGCCTTCTGCACTCTCAGTAGTATCACTTAAAAACGCACGAATTTGAGCTAAATATATTTGTGTACACTTCAAATTCGTGTCCAAAGACCTCCACAAATTCCTACTCCATGCAATAACTTCAATAAGTAAGTAACTCAACATGAAAAGGAACATTGACAGAAAAGGGTGAAACTGAAAAAGGTAGAAATTTGGTAAATAAATTACAGTGAAAAACAAGAAGCGAATAAACCATCTTATTGTTTTCGTTCCCTTCCATTTCTTCTTCTTCAAACTGAACTTGGATTTCCGTTTTGTTCTTTTTCCTCTTGCATCAACTATCATGTAAACGGCAAAAAAGAAAATGATCAGGCACAAGAAGGATAGTGGCCTGGAGTCGGAAAGAGTAGTAGCAATAAGGAATAGGATGTCGAGAATTATATAGCTCTCTTGTGTGAAGTCTGGAACGGGAGTTGTGTTTTTTAATTCCAGTCCCATGTCTAGTAGTCCCCCAACTTCGTAAGTCAAACTTCTGTGCGTTGCATCTCCTATTCGGGTCCTGATATACTTCAGCTGCTTCTTAAATTCATTTTCAGAAGCATAATCGGCTAATAGATATAGGAGCTTCTTAAGTCTACCCATTTTAGACCATCTTTCCTTGACAAGGATGAAATTATCCACAATACTTTCAGTATAATTGCAAAGTTCCTTCACCTCTTCCAACCACACATTTTCTCTTTCACTTCTTGACCAAGAGACAATATTATTTTGCAGGTAGATGAATTCAGCTTTTAGTCGCTCCACCATCTCGATCACCTCTTCACTGGTAACTATAATAGTTTGACTCAGAATGTGATCAAGCTTCTCCATAGCTACTACCACTACTACTTGTATTTGCTTTCTTTGGATTCGGTTGGAAGAGCACCAAGATAGGAGATATTTTAAACTTTAGAACCTATAAGAAATGTGTCACTTCACTGCACTGCATAAGTTGGGAAGAAGAGGACGAAGACATTTGTGGGTAATAGCTGTGTAATATAGACTATTACAGATAATTAGCAAAAACATGTTTGTCATACTAATAAGACAGTTCACAAATCAAATGGACACTCTGTTTGTCATTTTTCACTAGTGGCATGATATGAAATTTTGACAGTTTGTCATATATCTCTTTCTGGACTGGAAGAGAGGTTTAAAGCTTACTGGTTATCACATACAAGTTTTATAGGGTTGAATTCACAAAAATAAAATTCTTGTGATAAATTCTTTAACCATAAGAGCTCATATGTGGCATGAGTCATGGCTCGATCTCAACTTTTCTATTTAATCCTAACAATAAATGTTTGTCTTTTGCTATTCCATGAGATCAAATTTCTACAAATAAAAACATAATATTTTGATGTAAAACGTCTATCACTTATATCTGATGCTCAATCAACATCTGAATATTCAATAATATCAATGTCGTCTATATTAAAAAAAAAAAACCTTTTCTAGGTGATCCTTTAATATACTTATCTATTCGATTACATGCATCTCAATGATTGTCACAAAGTGACGTGATTCGCAACAGTTTATCCCAAATTGTTGCAACATTTTACTAAAATTTTCAAACCATGTTCGAGGTGATTGTTTTAAGCCATACAAAAACTTGAGCAATTTACATATCCGGTTACATTCCCCCTAAACAACAAATCCAGGAAGTTGTTCCATTTAAATACCGTCTTCCAAGTCACCGTGTAAGAATACATTCTTGATATCCAATTGAAATTGAGGTCATTGTTTCATAACAGTCATGGTCAGAAAGAGACGAACACATGCCATCTTCGCGAGGAAAAGTATCACTATAATCTTGACCATAGACTCGAGTATATCCCTTTGTCACTAGGCAAGCTTTAAATTGATCTTTTTGTCTATCAAAACCCATCTTAACATTAAATATCCACCTCCAACCAACAACAGTTTTTCTAGAATGAAGAGGAACATGCTCCCAAGTATGATTAAATTCAAATGCCAATCATCATCTATTGCGACAATAAATCTAATTTGCACATAGCTGCAAATCTATTTTTCCATGAGAGAATGAAACACATACAAATCGATTGTCATGTGGTAAGAGATAAAGTGTTAGTACATATAATTCTTATCACTTCAAAGGAGCAAATTGTTGATATGCTCATTAAATCATTACACCCGAGTCCATTTAATAATCTTCAAACTAAACTAGGAATAATTGATATTCATTTTACCTTGTGGGGGAATGTTAAATGTAATAAAGAATAAGAGAATATAACTAAATATGTTGATAGAGATTCAAAACTGAAAAGTAACAAATCAATTAGTTATAAGTTAGTTATTGTTACTTGATGTATAAGTAACCACATACTCTTTTTGTATCAAGTGAGATTTTTAAGTAATGAAAAGCTTGAATATCATTTTCTCTCAATCCTCTTCATGCTTTTACTTGATTAGATTGAGTTTTATTAACAAATACAATTATTCCATCTTCAGATGTTAAAGGAGATAGAAGCAAGTTTGTGATATTTGATGCATGAAGGCTTGCCAAATCGCTACAGTCCGTAGAAACCGAGGAGAATTGGTCGAAAGAAAGTAAATGGGAAATGCTATAAAACAACTATATTGAAATTAGGTTAGTATTTTTATATTAAAATCGTGTTACTTTTATAATTGAATAAAAAAATAGTTTTCTTCTTCCCAACTTCATTTACTAACCTCAAAAAATATTCAAAAACTTCATAGCTATCAAGTCTCCGATTTTATTCAAATCAAAATCAAATAACTAAATTTCATGACAAAACTCGTTTCAATCTATCAAGCATGTGTAGTTATGTAATATATTTTTCTTGTTTATTTTGTTTTCATGTTGCATTCACCATTTTTTGTCTCGTTTTATATCAAAAGAAACCTTCTAGAACATATTTTCCAAATTACATACCTACATGATATATAGGTTCTTTTGGAAGACAAACTATGAAATTGTTTAATTTATTTGGGGTCCATTCTAATTTGTTTTTGTCAAACTAAAAAAACACTATTTTTGTCTCTTAATTATTCAACTTTTATGATTAATTTAACAATTAAAAAAAGCAGTCACTAAAAAGATTTTTTTAAATTTTTAAGTTTTTTCTCTTACTTCGTTAAACTCATAACAAGAAAATCTAAAACACTAAAATCCATAAAATCTAGAACACAAAACGCGTCTTGTTAATGATGATGTTGTTGAAATAAATTAACAATATTATTATTGTTTCTTTCAATTTGAAAAATCGATAAGGGTTGTTGAGTTAATGCATCTTCTGCCTCAATTAAATGATTATCATCTTCTACTTCGATCTTGCATGGATATTATCAAACTCTTTTTTGATCTTAGAACATGTCAATCTAAGTGTTGTGTTATTTATATGTGTAAGTATACATAGTCTAATAGTAGCAAGTGTTTTAAAAATAAAAGTATCGATCCCACAAAAATTAATATTAACTTAAGTTGATTTCTAATTCAAAACTTGTGAAGAGTCGTAAGCAGAGATTAATAATAATATAGTTGTCACGTGTTCATATTAAAGAATAATGAGCAGAGATTAATAATAATATAGTTGTCACGGGTTCATATTTAAGATTAATGAACAAGGATTAATATTAATATAGTTGTCACATATTCTATTTGAGAGCTATTAAGTCTTGTTGCTCAGGGTGATTTTACGCTAGAACAACTTGATGTGAAGACAACCTTCTTACATAGTGATTTGGATTAGGAAATTTATATGTATCAACTTGAGGGATACAAGGTTAAGGATAAAAAGAGTCAAGTATGTCGCTTGAGTAAATCACGTTATGGATTGAAGAAATATTATCATCGATAATACGAGCGATTCCACTCAATTATGTTAAAGCATAATTTCTCTATAAAGGATAAGATTGTTGTGTATACATTCGTAAGCTTAGAGGAGGTGGTTATATTTATCTTCTAATGTATCTGGATGACATGTTTATTGCTTCGAAGAGTAAGGCAGAGATAGTTAAGTTAAAAACTCAACTTGGTAAAGAGTTTGAGACAAAAAATTTAGGAGTTGCAAAGATAATACTACTTATGGAGATTAGAAGAGAAAGATCAAATTGAGGATTGTTCTTGAGTAAAAAGGATACATTGAACGAATTGTTAAAAAGTTTGGAATGAAAAGTGTTAAATCAATGGTGACTCAATTTGCTCCATGTTTTAAGCTCTCTAGTTAATAATTTCCCACCATAACGGAAGATAAGGCATACATGAAATGTGTTCCTTACACTGGTGCAGTTGGCAGTTTAATCTACACTATGTTGTTTACACTGGTGCAGTTGGCAGTTTAATCTACACTATGTTGTATACATGTTCAGATATTTTACAAGTGGTTAGGTTGTCAGTAGAAATAGTGTTAAAGGGTACCATTGACATGTATTTATGCTTTGGACGAAATACATAACAATTAAACGACTTTGTTGATTCTAATTATGCTGGTGATCTAGATAGATGTTGATCAACTATTGGTTATGTATTTAAAATATATGATGCTCCAATTAGTTGAGAATCGATGTAACAAGCTACAGTGTCACTATCTACTACAGAGGCATAATACTGTTAGACGATGACGTAGATCTAGAAGCGGGGTTGAATAGATCGCTTGCTTAAAAGATTCGGTGCTACCAATAAAATTGATTTTTAAAATTTGTTTAATTGCGGAAGCGGCCGAGGAACTACACACGTCTAAAACGAACGGTTACTAAAAAAACGAATATGCGTTAAGCCTATGAAATCCGACAACGAGATATGAGAATCACTAAGTTAATCACACTATCAATTTGATTCAGCTTATTATATGATGTGACTAGTTCCAATGCCTTAAAAAATATTAACACTATAAAAAGACAGCACACAAGGCTTTTAGTTCAGACAATTTATCAAACACTTGGAGTGCAGAGCACTACAAGTGAGTTCTGTTTTGAGAGTGAATTGTTCAAGTTTCCTCTAACAATCAATGATTGTACTAGGTTCAAAAATTAGTTTAGCACTACTTAAACCAGACCTAGATTGATATGATCATTTGAACTAAAAACACAAATATTAAGCAATATAAATGTAAAGCAAAAGACACAATGATTTGTTGAGGCAGTTTCCCCGTTGTCCTCGCTCGGGGTACGTCTGCCCTCAATTCTAATAATAGAATTGAGACCTGTTAATATATAGATATAATCTGTTGTTGAAATTTTATACAAGAAGCGAATAGCTATCAAACAAACGAACATTATTGTTGTTGTATATCCTATTTCTTCTTTCCCCTTAATTCAAGTTGAATCAAGTATTCGACAACTGTGAATAAACCTCCGATTGCGACACTATCTTTGAACAACCTTCAGTCTTCAAAATCTGGCCCGGCTGATTTCAATCACCTGGGTGTCGAACCCGAAACTCCCACTCACAATCCTCCGTTTACCGTTACTAAATCGACAGAACCTCCAGCTCCTCGATTACCTTCACCCACCTGAATATGTGATGAGACGAATCGTGTAAAAACCCTCAAATTCAGAGAATCTTGGAGGACAAAACCCCAAAGATTTTATTCAAGAAAAACCTGTCGATTTCTCAACCCGGACCGGATAACCCAATCTTCGGCTTCAAACGTTATCACCTATAAAAATTCACTATGCACAACAAAGATGATTATATGTAATTATTGTGAAACTCTATGAAGAGAATGAAGATGATGAGAACCAAATCGACACCTATTTCACTTTTCTTGTTTTTCTCAATGTTGTGAAGTGAAAGTAGCAACTAAACTTATATACCAAACATAACTGACATAAAAAACAAAACCACT